TTGGCTGACATTGTTGCCAATAACTGGAAATGAGCCAAACCCATTTTTTTAATTATCTATGATGTTATTAGAATTTTGTATAATTACAACATTTCTTGTTTTATTTTCATTTTTCTTCTTTAAAGTGTACCAAGAAATAGAACAATGAGTTTTCTCTTCCATCTCATTGTGCGATAAATTCTTACCTTGCAATGTGAATGTTGATACTATTCCTCGAGACTAATTGCATCTTTGCAAAATTGAACTTGAGCTTCAACTATAGTTAAAATCATGGAATGGACATTAGAATTTAAGGTACCTCACGTAGGGTAAGATGTTTCTCTTCCACATAGGTTCGAGTCATAAAATGTACTGATCACAATTACTAGTATCTGGGGACTCGGAGAAAGATGAATAAAAAAATAGCATAATGTATACTAGAATTCCATTAAGGTTCTAGTCAGAATGAAATTCTAGAGGTGAAAATCTTCATATTTTTCTTCTGTTGATTATCATTCCAACCAAGTATATTCTAAAATTGGACCCATGTCTAGTGCAAAAATGTATCAATCAAAATTTCAGTCAGGTGACATACCCGAGGACCCGTGTACACACCTCTTGTGCAATCCATTAACCTTATGAGGCAAAGTCCTGGGATATTCGAATTAACACATGAATGCGATCATACTTGCATCTGCAAAAAAAATTAATTATGATTTAAACTCGTCATCCAGCATACAGTTCAATGACAATTGATCAATCCAATAACAATTGAATCGGATCACACACAATTGAGTTTGATCTAATGGTTGTATGAATCTTTGCTAAAATAGTTGCTGCGAGATAATGACTTGTCGGGATGCTCCGCAGCTTGCAGGACGGAAGTCTTGAGGCTTGATCTATCGGTTGATTGGGGTGTTTAGGGGAGGGGGGATGAGGTACTTGCAAAGCACTCAATGTTCAAGTCAATATTTGAGTAATAAGTTTTAGTTAAGAGGGGAAAGATAAACATATATGGGCATCAAGCATCTCTTTATATAATAATTAAGTGTCCTACTTATGCCGTCTTGATATGGCTGTATTTAATCTCATAGATACATATATATGACTCTTGTAGGCTATATTTGTGACCTATGCCTCCTAGGCACAATTGGAAGCAAATATCCCACCCTATGCCATTGGCGGTTAGGGTGACTATAGAATCCTGAGCTACTAATGTCGTGTAACAATAATAAATTGAGCTACTAATGTCGTGTATTAGAATACTTGCGGGATGACATGGTTACACGTGAAATGACTGTATTTTTTTAGTCTTGATAGGAGCGTTTGGTAGATGAAAAAAAAGTTTTACTAGGAAAATATAATTACTAGGGATATGGTGGGAAAAGAAGTTTGGTAGGAAAATTAAAAAAAAAATTGTTTGGTTGGCAAAAATTTTACTGAAAAAATTAGATAAAATTTTATAAGTCTATGTTTGGTCGAAGGTAAAATATTGATGAAAGAATGAGGTAAGATTATCAATTAACCCTTTTTTAATTTTTGAATGTTTACATCTCTCCTCCAAATTCACTCTCCTCCAAATTATAGGAGAGTATTTTTGTCGTGCTTTTGTTTCTCACTTCTCCATTTAGCCTTTCATCTTGCAATACCATCTCCAAAGTGGCATTAGATCACTTTTTTCAAACAATTCTAAAAGTCTAGGCAAGTTGGTTTGCTACCAATATTTTTGAAAAACTTGAACCAAACATGAATCACACAAAATCCTAATATGTAATACCTAGGCATCCTCTAAAAGAACTTGAACCAAACACCTCCTAAAGTTTTATTGATTTGGTCCCATTTGAGTCTTTCATGGATTGGGACCTTGTATCCCGCGTGGAATAGATCCAAATCAACAGGAATAATATAGCACTAAATATTCAATGAAAATAAACATTATTTAAATACTAGTTTTTTTTTTGGCAAACAACGGAACATTTTAGAAGTGACGAATCTTCTTGCGCACAGGGAGAGCTCTAGCCATTCCAAAAATTTTAAATATCTCATAGAAATAATTTAAAAAAGTACCCATGTGTTCCGTTATATATTATTAAAATATCATATGGTCATCACTCCAAAAAATTTTAAACAAAATCCGAGTTGTAAACAGGGCTAGAAACTGACAAACACAGCTTCTTCACGCATGTCATGACCAACGAGGCAACGAGACCTAAAATACCGAGAACAGTAGTAAATATTACTGATTTAAATAGTTTATTTACTTGTAAAGAATAAAAATTATAGAAATTAAAACTCAGATAAAAAAAAGTTTACTGTTTCTCTATCGACAAAAGATAAAATTATCTCCATCAATTTGTTTTGGGAGTTGATGAAATTCATAAAGAATATTTTGGTAAAATTTATATAATAAGAAATAAATCAAAATTTTTAAAATATTCTTCGTTAAATTTCTGAATCCAAAATGACATAGTTGTAGGATTAATGAAGATAATTTTTTCTCATTAACAAGAAACCATAAACCCAAATTATAAGAAATAAAATGTGACTTTAAAAGCAAATAAACGTGCACGAGACATAATGGTAAAATTCACCATACAACAGACTTTTTCTCTTTAAACATCGTAATGTGCCGATCGACTGAAATTAAAACAAAAATTCATAACTAACTTTATTGATGGCAGAACCTACGTACACGTTTTTTGGTAACCCACCATATTTACATTGTCTGTTGTTTACTTTTTCGATCCACTTCTATTGAAAATGGTATATTATTTTTAATTTATAAATTAAATAATAAAAACTGCAGATTATGTAATAAAAATATATAATATTTATAAATATTTAATTTTGATTATCCAATACAAAATATTTAATTAAATTCTATGATTTTTTTTTTTAAATAACACAATAAGTAGGCCCTTACCTTACTCTTTTTCAATAAAGTCAAAAAAGTTGTAGCGCACTGGATTATGGAGTCAAATGATGGTCCACACTGCTTCGTTTTTGGTTGAAATTGAAAGATAGTTACAGAAGAGCATGGGCTAATCCTTCACCTAAAGAAACTTCCGGAAGATGAAAATTTAAACGATTACTCTGCTGCTCAGTTTAATTTCCATTAATGTAGTTGATATAGTTTCACCGTCATCAAATGTTCGAACTTTAACTTTTGTTAAGTTATTATCATTGCTAAATTTGTTAAAAAATATAGTAGCATATAATTAGATTATAAATAAAATTTAAAAATGATTATTTTCCATTATTGTAGATATGGAGCGATATTCCTGTTTGTTCCGGGTGCAAATTAGATTTGGTGCGACGAAAATGAGAGAAAGAAATAAAAAGTTGAGGAGACATGAGAAAGAAAGGAAAAAAAATAAATTGTCCAACTGTCAATTTTTTAATGAAAGAACCATAATAATCAATCTGGAGCATAATAAAAATTGGGAAATAATTATGTCATATTGCATGAGATAATTATTTCATGCAACAGAGGCAAAATAGTGGGGTTCACTATTTTTTCTTTTTCTTCTTTTTTTGAAAAAGTAGTGGACCTCACAATTTTATCTCTATTGCATGAAATAATGATTTCATACAACATGAGATTAATAGATCCCTTAAAAATTTCGACAGTTTGACTGTCATCTAATGTTCACAATTTCTTTTTTTCAAATGTCAAATTGGTCTTCAGTGTTGCAGTAGAACTCACTTTTTTGGTTAAACAACATGAGTTTACATATTTCTATTTATAATTGGAGACGTATGTCTAAAGTTGTACTCTAGTTCCTCTATTCACCTGTGCAAATGACACGTCGTGGCTTGAAATAATGCAACACATCAAGGCACATGTTAGTATCCAACTTCTGACAACATTCGTGGTCCTAAAAATCTCATCCATATTTCCCAATCAACAATTCATATATCCACCTCGTTATTAAAAGGAGCAAGTGACTAGACGAAACCATTGTAATTCATTCCTTTCTGATCCTGCATTTCCTCTTAGCTTAACTACTTTATCCATTGTCCATATTAATGATAAAAATTGATAAACACCACCTCCATTAGTCAAATAAAAAGGTGCTCCAAATAGGTCTTTAAAAACAAATATTTTATAAGTAATTAATTCAAAATCCAAATATTTTATCAAATGCGCGTTCAAGTTATGTAAACAAAGTTATGCATAAAGATGATATATTTTGTTTTGATATTATCCATTGATTTATTGATTATTCGACAAGTCTGATTCAAATTTTACCTGACAAAATTCTCTTTATTAAATTTTAACACAACTACGTTCTTAAAAACTCAAATTTAAAATTTCATTAAGCTAGAAGAACTCCTTATCTCACGCATAATAATATGCAACTTACAACACACGCCATGTGACATATATGCATTTAGCTATATGCAAATTGTGCACCTTCTCATATCCAACTTAAAATTACATATTTGATAAGTGTATCCTTATATTATTTTGATAAAATATTTAAATTTTAAATCAATATGATAAAAAGTTTCTTTCTCTAAATCCTTCAATCTTGTTCAAAATTGTTATCCACAGCAACCGCTCCCTTCAGAGTTGACGTGCACTAGAGTCACGTTTACTAGTACAGTTGTTTTGTCCAAATTTTCAGTTTCACCGCTTTCTACTTTTATTTCAACGCTTGTCGGTGTCTAATATCTGGGACCAAAGAAAAACACATATGCAATACAGCTCATTTGCCAGAAAAGGCCCCATAATATCATTAGAACAAAAAGAAAATGATAAAGCAAGAATAGTATACTAGTAACAGTAGTACATTGAGAATGAAATTGAATTTCAGGTACAAAGCATCATATTTCAGAGAGCCAGAGACTCATCTGTTTTCACCCACCAATCTTTTGTTACAGAACTCGAACAATTAAATATAAATATAGTAAGCAAGTGACAATAAATGATGATAAATTATTAACAATACATGAAGCTTAAAGTAGATAAGAACTTTATAGTAATAATAAGAATAATAAAAATAGCAGATGAGAGCTTAAATGTCTCTGTCTCTTGTGCATTCAGGAGGGATTTGAGGGTAGCGTTTGCGGTCAGTGCAGTAATTGTAAATTGTGTATTTCTGTCGCACCCATTTGAGCCTTTGCCATTGAGCAGCATCAAGGTCACGAAACTCTGGTTGATCCCACCATCTCTTACCTTGTGTGTCACAGAATTTAGCATTCACAGAGGCTTCACACCCATCAATGTGAAACCCTTTGTAAGAGGCTATGAAGGGTGCTTTAGACCAATCTGTTTTCTCCAAACCACCCCTTGTGGCCCAATCATCAGCATTCCACAAACTGTTGTAAAGCTTCATTGGTTGGTTAAATGGGAATTTCACTCCCAAGTCATTGCTGTTCTTGAACACCCTTATTGGTACATCATCCACATAGAAACTGCACAACCCCACATTTGATTAGTTATGTTTTGTGTCTCAAAATTGAAATTTTAAAGTTTGGAGGAACAAAATGAATGTTAAGAAAAAAAGGGTAGGTGAAGAAGTACTTACACAATCTGCACCATGTTCCACAGGATTGAGTATCTGTGGTAGCCTTTTGTAGGATCAAACCAGAGATAGATTCTTTGTTCTCTGTTACCCTGTCCTCCTGTGAATACATTTGTTTGCAAAATGTATGGTTGTCCTGTTCTGTTCCCCAAGAACTCAAAATCTATCTCATCATGTTCAGCGTTTTGGGAAGATAACTACATAGTTGATAGTTCCAATCACAGCCAAAAAAAGGTCACATAACAAAACAAAGAAAGCAAATTGGTGTAAACCAAAAACTAAATAAAACATTTTTTTTTCTTACATAGAAAGCAGTGACTGTGCCAGCTGAATCACCAGGAACCATTTTAATGTACATGCTAAAGTGACCAAACAAGTAAGACCCTTTGGACTGGAAGCCAGTACCTATTCAAAATTGCATGAATATTATTTGAAAATGAAGTAGTTTTATAAATAAAAGAAAAATACATGGCTGAAAATAAAAAATAAAAAATTAAGGTGCATAGCATTAGCATATATATACCAGTGTACTTATCAAGATGAAGCTGAATCTCAGAACCTCCATTGAAGTATTTGATGTGATCAAAGGCCCAAGTAGGGACATAGTTTCTGCCGAATGGCACATCAACAGGACTCCTTGGGTTGGCGGCTAATGAAGCAGAACCCAGTGATAACAAAATCAGACAAGTGCACCAAAAAGAACCCATTTTTTTATGTGTTTTAACTTATGCTGTGATATGTCTTTGTGGATACCACAGGGTATATATAGGCACAAGACCCTCTGCCTTGGACCCTTCTCTCTCTTTCTCTATCTAACAAATGTGACACCATAACGCGCTTAGGCTAGCTAGTCTTCAATCACTTTCTGATTAGATTTTATAATTTCTTTATATTTGAGTTCTGATTTTCTTTTTTAATCATAAGAAAAGTTTAAATCATGCTAGTTTATTTAGTGATTAATAAGCTAATACATACGAGAGTTATTTCTCATAAATGTTTTAATCTGTATGTGTCCCGAGAAGATAGTGATCAATATAAGATCTTTAAATTAGTGGAATTTATGAAGAGACAATCATAAAGAGTGACAGATCACTAATTTGAAGTGGGATGGTATGTGTACTGTAACAAAATTTAACTCTTTTATTAATAAAAGAATGAGATAGGTTATCCTTAAAACCTAGAATCTCTTACAATTATTTTTTATCGTTTGATCAAAATCAAATTAATTACAGTTTTAAAATAATATATCAAGTGAAAGCTATTAATTTGATTTTAATCAAACTGTAAAAAAAAAAAAAACTGTAAAAGGTTATAAGAAAAAAAAGTTTATAAATATAACCACCCACTATAAGAATTTATCAGAAAATATGAGAGTTTGAGTAGAGTTGAACTCTGAACTTTTAATGTTACTTTTTCAAGAACAAATCTAGATGAGAGAGTTGAAGTGAAAAATTATCCTTACCATTATAGTATAAAAAAAAAATAGATATTATACGATATTTCTAAAACTATTTTTTTTGTACAAGTTTCTAGAGTTAATTATGTAAATTAGTTGGCGAGAGTGTAAAACTTACTTCTTTACAATTTATCCTTTTTCATATGAAATTTTACAGCTTATTATTCGTCTTGTGTGACTTGTTACAAACACTGAAATTAATAGTTATTGTGATGGTGATATTGTAGGAGCGGTTTTAAGAAATGTTCTTTGATGAATGTGACATTTGAATATAATTAATATTAAAAAAAATTGTAAAGAGACGCGAAATCACAAATATCCTTTAATTATAAACATCATAAAACAACTAGGATATGAAAAAAGAAATTGATAGAGGTATTTAAATAGAAATTCATTACAATAAAAGAAGTGGGGATTATAAAAGGAAGATTATGTTATATGTATTTGATGAAGAGATAAATAGAGTAAAACAATTGTATAGCTAATTATTAATTAATTACTATGATTGTCATTCCTCATTAAATTTTATTTATTTATTTTTTACATATATTCTTCTAGTATAATAACCACTTTTTTTTTATCATGCCTCGTTAGAGTATATTGTTTTTATATACACTCTGAGTTATGTTATAAACTATCAATATGATAATGTAATCCAAATATCTCCTCTTGTTATAAAATTCGCACTCCCTGTGAAAGATTATTGCATTGATTCTACAAAAATTAATTTGTCACATTACTAGAGGACGGAACACCCTTTATAGCATAAAAAATTTTCAACATCAAGAAATGTTTTTGAGCAACATTACCATATTAAAAACTCATCATGCTAGCTGACATATAGCAAGTATCAAGAAATTTTGGAAGTGCTTTTAATATTCCATTGAAATAAGTGTATGTCGGAAAGAAAACACATTCACAAGCCACTGTCTTGTAATAAACCTGAAGATTGTATTCACTTTTTTGGAGTTGGAAATTGGATATATCAACTAACAAGAAGCTATTGTTGTTACCATTTTCATTGGGTAATAGAATTTACAGGAAAAAAATTCAAAAGAGAAAAAGATGGGATTTGGAAGGACCAATTGTATGTTGTCGTTTTCAGTGCAAGGGCCCTACGTGTGGTGTTTGGTTTTCTTTGGCCATAAACGTGACGAAACTTCCTTGCTAATTTTGTAGGGTTGCCGACCAATCTAGCATTTCAAAATTTGAAGACACGGTTACTAACTAGGTACTTGACTATAGTCAAAAGAGGTTCACCACTTTAACTGCAATCCCCTTAATTAAAATAAAATACTTCAATAGAAATTTAAAAAGCATTTGATGTTTTCTTGGCATAGCTTCAATTTTTGTAAAAAATCACTTCAACACAAAATTTTAAGGTGTTGAATAAGAATTTTTTAAATGGTTTATATTATTCTCTAACACATTATTTCATGCAAAAGTCCTTTAGACTTGAAGCGTAAATATTATACAGACCAAATTTTTGGTTTACCTTATGCTTATTTAATTGAGTAATGACATTTTAAACGGTTTATTTATTTTTTTATACATGAGAAAGCACTAGAATGCACACAACCTAACACAACTATCCACACCTCTTACTTTAGGCTAACCTTAGTGGCTAAAAATATGCTTGTCTTTTAAATGATTTATATTATTCTTTAACAATTCCTAAAAAGATATTATTATGAAATTTGAAGAGAAAATAAGATAATTTTAGAGGAAAAATATGATATACTAGACAAGCGAAAATTTTAAAATACTCTCTATCTTTTCTCCATTATTTTAATATTGCAGGAAAGATTTTATACGCTGTTAGAAAAGCAACACTTTTCATATTTAAATGTGTCACAAATTAGTTAATTCTTCAACAAAATGGGAAGTGACCAATCCGTTTGTTTGAAATTTTGATAAAATTGTAGAAGGAATTAATGTTAAAAACATTAATGCACATTTTGACATAATATTTTAAAAATAAATTTAAGAGAACTAATTTATTTGAAAGATAAAATAAAATCACTTTTGAAGTGTTAATATGAAAAAATTAAATATTTTATGAACCAGCACTAGAATCAATTTTACTGACCTCAAAAACTAAAACTAAAAATAAAAATATTTCTTTCTAAATTATTTCTGGTCCTTGTAGAATTAATTTTGAGATGCCAAAGTTTTAATCAAACAGAATTAGTTACTGAGTAATCTGAGTTTGCATACCGCAAGCTTCGTTTGCCTGCAACACAACAGGTAAAAAAGACCGCAATTATTTTTTTTTTTTTCCAATTTGATTTTATCAAAGGAAATGCTAGATAGCACAAAATGATTTTCAGGATAATTTTCACACAAATCATAAATACATTTATAGATCACACGAAACTTCTAGCTGTTTTTTTTTTTTTTTTTTGGGTTCAATACTTCTAGCCGTTTTCACTAGGTTCCATAAAGCATTTATGGCCACTCATGTGTGCTTTAGAACCCAAAAAATTTGGACCTTATAATTTAATAATATTATATTTATAATTTGTAAAGCAACATACTTATTTTCAATAGACTAAGAATTTGTTTTTCATTTTATTTACCTCATTCATGTTAATGAGGCTTGGTTATTTGACCCAACGATCTTCATAAATTGGATTGACATTTTATCGACTCAATTTTTCTTGGTTATTTGACAGTTTGATATGACAAAAGTTTCTTGTCAGACCGGACCGACCCAATTCGAATCATTAAAGTAGGCTTGGTTTATTTCATTTGGAGAAGCTTATTTTGACTCGAACATCCTGTTCAATTCGGTTTAAAAATTATTTGAGGGGAAGTGTTAAGTTTTAAGAACTCGTATACTTTTTAATTAAGTATTAATTTTATTTATATTTAGTAATTTTAATTTAGGGGAAGGATCCGTTTCAAATTTTTTTAACAAATTACACTAAGTATGACCGGTTATACACTCTTATTTGAAATATGACCGGTCATACTTAGTGTTGTTCGTAAGAGTTTATAAACAAAAAATTTGTAAATATAACATTCCTTTTTAATTTATTAGATATGATAGCTGAAATGAACTACCATTAAAATCAATTATTAATAAAGGATTTATTGTCCAATAAGCCTCAATGTGAATAGCCGTTATTGTCGATATGCATGGTATTTGAAAACCTGACAGATAAATCTAGAAAATAAAATTGAACAGCATTGCATGTGTCGGCATGAGTTGGAAATAAAGATATGGGTCTTTTATTTAGGAATAGCAAGTTGGAGGAACGTACAAACAAGCTCACATGATTTGGTTAAGAAAAGCCATGTTTGTGCGTATTCTCTAATGGAGTTGAGCAATAATTATAGGCATTATTAGTTGTTATAGGATTGTAGGACCAAGCCTTTGTTCATGATCTTGAGGTGTAGGGTTGGTGGAAAATCATCACGTATTAAATCAGAAAAAAAATTAAAAGTGTCAACTCATGCGAGATTTGTTACTCATTTAACTCAATCTCAATGTTCAAATAATTAATTACTAAGTTTGAAATAGGAATCAAAAGTTTTGAAAATAAAATAAAATTAGTAACAAGTACATAAATGGTTTATTGTTCATACTGTAATCCAAGCACAATATCGGTTAAGATCTAAGTAGTAATTAAAGTTTTCATCCTTGAATTCTCTATAAAAAAATAATAATTCATCTGTGAGATTAAGCGAAATTAACCACAACCACAATGTACCCGGATAACTGCACTTTGGATTGGAAATAATGTAAACAACATTGGGATACACCATCTCAAAAGCTAGCTCAAAGGGTGAGAGTGTCTAAGGCTTTATAAAAGCCACATTAGTTGCCCACATAATCAATGTGAGACTATATATCTCAACACGCCTCCTCACGCAATGAACCTTTGGGCTAGAAGCGTAGAATTGCACAGGTCCATTTTTTGGGTTTACTTTTTTGTGCTTTTTATTTTATTTTTAATTCCACTTGAAAGTGGGGGCCGTGAGAATTGAACTTGTGACCTTTTAGTCACTTAAGTTCTGATACATGTAAAGAACCTTGGGATACACCACTCCAAAAGTTAGCTCAAAGGGTGGGAGTGCCCAAGGCCTTATAAAGATCACAATAATTGTCCACGTAATCAATGTGAGACTATATATCTCAACAAATAATAAAACAAAAAGAATCGGGTGATAAGTCAATATCAAATATAAGAAATTAAGATTGGAAGAAAGGATAAAAAACTTACTATAATAGGGCAAGTCTTTATT